TTCAGTAGTCTGTTTTAGCTTTTTTAATATCTAAAAATATTCATTTCTGACAGCTTTAAACTCTTATCAGAAATTATATCATTCTTTCAATCTCTTCTAGCAGTAGTTAATTGTTTTCTTTTAGATATAATATTCTCATTTCATCAAGATTTTAAATACTCAGAAGACTTTCTCTTTGAAATATTATCTTTAATACTTATTAGAATAATAGATGTAATGAGCTTCACTCTATTCTTAAGTATTTCATTTGAGATATCTTGATCAGAATTTCAATACAGCTTACTCTATCTTTCAGATTTTAACAGTTTTATACTTTCTTCAACTATCTTTCAGTCAGCTTTTTCAAAGTTAAACTGATTAGAGAGAAGAGAATTTTCACTTATTTATTTCTCACTCAGTTCAATATTAAATTGAATAATCTCATGATCTGATTCTGATGTCTCATTTAAATTAATAAATCAGTTTATAAGTCTTTTTTCTATTAGAATTTATGATATGAAGATTAGATCTATAATAGATTTCTGTTTTATATCTTTTCTAAAGAATGTTTATTGATCAGACTTGTTAATTAAATCTATTGAATACTTAAAGATTTATTTAATCAGATTATCAGCTCTTACTACTCTTTTACATTCTGAATTTTATCAGAGATAATATGCATTGAAATCTTCTATAATTATAGAGTTTCTTGATAAAGTTATGTTCAGAAATTCTCTATCAATTATTCAGATATTATTATTTTTCTTTAATAACTTTTTATTATAGATATTTATGAGCTGTATAATATCAAACTCATTCTCTTTATCTATAACATTACTCATCAGAATATCAGAGTCAGATATAATATTAAATCTTAGATTAAATTAATATCTTAATCTCTTTCTTTCATAGATCACTACTCTTGACTTTATCTCAGACTTTTGAGATAAAAAGCAGTAGTAGCTTGAATAAGAAATGATATATTTTTACTCAGTATCAAAATTCAGCTTCTGAAGTAGTATAAAATTAACTTTTTATTCAAATATAATTTAAAGATAAGAATAAATATAATTTAAGTTTCTATTCATATTATTTTGAATAAATGTGATTTTTGAAGAGTTTTTAAACTTTTTTTATTATTTTTATTATATATTCATACTAAAAGAGAGTAGAGTAGAATCTAATTACTATCATCAGATAGTAGATTATAACTATTCTGAAAAGTAGAAATCTTAACTACTTATATTATATCTAGTTTATTATCAGAGTTATTTCTCAATTCTCTAATCTTAACAGAAGTTTGAGAATTCAAATTCTATTTATATTTAGCTGAAGAATTAAAGTTTAAAGATTTAGATAGTTAAGAGTTTCTTCTTTTTAAGCTTATAGTTATGAGTTTACTGATTTGACTATTCTCTTCAGTTCTAGATTTACTTTGAGCTTCATCTTTTCTTCAGTTCTTTTAAGTTCTTGAAGTAAATATACATTCTTTTGAGCTAGATACATATTTTTCTTTATAATTAGAGCATTTAAGCAGAGTATATTAATATATTTTATCTCTTTTTAAGCATGTTTCATATTTATACTCACTAGTTTTATAATCTCTGATACAGAATGCACATTTTGAGTCTCTGAAATAGAAGATTGTAAAGTATTCATATCTTTGACAGTTTAAACACTGTGTTTAAGCTTTGAGATTCATTCTTGAGACTTTGTATTCATGAACTCTTATTTTCAAATCTGTTACTCTTACTTCAGAGATCTTTGACTGTTTAAGTGTTTTTATATATACTAGAACAGAGACATTTCTTCTGCTTTATCTGAACTTAATTGAATTTAGTTATACAGACTCTTTTCTTAGTTGAATAGAGTTATATTCTTCTAATTCATTTTTAAGAAGTAGTATTTTCTCTTCACAGTCAAAAATTTTAACTGAAATATTATAAAGAATGAATTTATCTTACTTTTCATCTCTCTCAGATAGAATTATTATATTTAATAAAGATTCTACTATTAATTTTCAGAGATTCTCATTCTGAATAAGGAATTCTGCACTGAATTCAGACATTATAGTCAGAATGATAGAGTTTTTAAAGAAGAATGACTCAATTGAAGTTATAACTGATTTCTGAACTTCAGTATCAGTTATTAACTAAGAAAAAAACTGCTGATTAATTTTATTTCTGATTCTGAAAATAAGATTTGAGTTTAGCTTATTTCTTTGCAAGATATTCTGATTTGAGATCTTGAGAATAAGTCTTTTATTTTTAAAGATTTGAAAGTTTTTCTTCTTTTACATTTTTTTCTTCATCTTTCTATTAATAGAAGTATGAGTATTATTCTTCTCAGTTTTCTCAGGATTTTGAGCATATTTTAAGATAACAGATTTAGAGACAGCAGATTCAGCTACTTGAGCATATATTTTCTTCTGATTTAAAGAAGAAGAAGAAGTAGAAAAGAAGAAAGAAGAGCAAGATGAGAAGTCAGTGATTATACTAGGAATTTTCAATGTTTTTTAAACTGTGTTTGAAATTCTAAGTTTGAACTTGATCATCTCCTGTAGTTGTCTAGTCTGAGTATAAAGAATTAACAGAACTTCTTCATTTATCTCACTCAGATACTGCTTTTTAAGAATCTTACTTACTTTTTTAAGTTTCTGTATTTTAAGAACTTGTTATTTCTCTATTTCTTCTTTCTTTCTTCTCTTCAGAATTTCAATCTCAGAAATAGTATTTGAGAAAGCATCTTTTTTCACATCAACTAAGTGAATTTTTGAACTCATTGTTCTTACTCAATGAAAAGTTAATCAGACTGTTTCAATTGAGATATATATTGAACTCTTTTAAAAAGTTGATCAGACTGTTTCAATTAAGAGATTTCTAAGTCTGTTTTCAATTGAAAAGTTAATTAGACTGTTTCAAAAGAAGAATAAAGACTTTTATATATAAAATATCTGATTTTTTCACACTAGTTCAGTAACTAGGTAGATTTTGAGAGATCTAATAAACTAAAATTGATTTTTA